GGCGCATCACTTTTATGAATATTTAACGCGGCGCCTGTTTGATCTTTCACACAGCGGCGACCTATGTTTCGCTTTGGCTCGTTGATGGAAAAAAGAAGACAGCTCCGCCGTCGCGCACGGCTTCTGATTGAGAATCCCTGCCACAAAGGATTACAATAAACCGATATCCATTCGCTCATAATCAGCGTGGAAGCCGCGGCACGTTAAACTGTGCACAGCTCACCAACGAATCCCTGTTATGTGCGCCTCCGTTTATTACGCGACCCCTACCCAACTACCGATCGATCGGCGATTTAAATCGGTCCCTACGAAGTTCACCGCTCCACTAATTTTTATTTTTTTATTTTATTTTTTTTTATTTTAATTCGTAACAAAACAATCTGACAAACGAACGATGTTAATTGACGACTATTTATATAACATCCAGAACAAAACAGTGAGTCGCGAAATTCAAGAGATCAAAGTATATATAAAGAAAATTTTCTTCGTGCTTCTCAACTTCTTCCAGAATACGTATATATTCTGTAGGTCGGTGAAACAAACGATTTATTTTATTCGGAGATATGGCAGCGCACTGTCAGAAGATGGAGGTGAGAATAAAGGAAATTCCCTAGATTGATATTCCAGAGGGTTCGTGCCAACTGTCGAATTGCCGTTACCAAAGGCGAGCGTTAATTACAGATCGGTCATCCAGCGCGTTTAATAAGCCGACTACCGGAAACCGCCGCGGGAGATATCAAGGAAGGCTTATTTGTATGCATGAGACGATCGTGACCCGGATCAGTGAGACCCTTTAACCTCTCCCCCATTCCATTGACCTCCTCTTCGCAGCCACTATGATCCGTTCTCGATCGCCAATTTCCCAATAACGTTGCTTATTCCTATCGTCGTTATTATCACCGACTGAAATAATATACACAGATGGCCACACTCTTTTTGCATTCATTTATTGAAAAAAGAAATGCCTCAAATGTAAAAAAGTTTGAAATGTAATTTATGCTAATACTATGCTAACAAAGGAACAGTTTTATATAAATTCATACGTATAAGAAGAAAAAAAAAACTATCATTGAATCCAAAGTTTAATTTAAAGACAAAATCATCATCCGACTACTTTTTTATCATGAATCTTCATTGAATACAAAATATACGCAATCGAAAATTCCTTCTTCTTTGTCAACGTGTTCGATGATTAATCACTGATAAATTCAAAGTACCATCGCGTTTATTTTATTATTTTACGACGTCCGCTTATTTTTCAGAAATCCAATCAAACACTCCGACATCAATACCTCAATATTTCATGCTTTATGTTCTGTAGCAACTACTTTCCATGCTCTTACAGTTTTATCTTAGCTTTTCTTTCTTACCCTACTTCCTAACTCGTATGCATAAGAAAACACTGCTATTAGGTGAATAAATAACGTTAATAAACGCGTCGACCCGGTGCTTAGAACTCTTCTGCAGGAAAGAAACAGAAGTAGAGGAGCACAAAAGGAAGAGAGAGAGAGAGAGAGAGAGAGAGAGAGAGAGAGTCACAGGGTAAGTAGAGGACGACAAGCGACTCGTGACCGTTCCATTACATTTCCCTAGCCACGATAGGCAACCACACCAACATTTCACCACTGCGAGCACACTTTTTACGACGACGTCTCTTACAAGCCAAACGTGTCTCATCTTCTGAATGCTATTTACCCTCATCCACTCTGTCCCTCTCAATGTTTTAATACTCGAGCGATATAATCCCCTAGACAGTCGTGCCTTCGTGAAAAGAAATTGTCCCTAATCATAAGTTGGTCCAAATTCTGCGAATTATAGTTATATCAGATAATACAGTGTACTGTGTATTATATTGTAATTAATTATAAATAAGATATTATATGCATGTGTTTTATTGCAACTACATCGTAACAGTTAATTTCGCGAGTTAGGAAATTAATTGGACACCGTGTAGACGTTATGTCTAAATTCGCGAGAACCGACGGAAACACGTCTCAGGAGTCACGCACTCCGACGACTTTATCTCTAGGTTGCTACGTCACTCTCCGTCTCTCTCTCTCTCTCTCTTGAAGGAGAAGTCACCTCCAAAAGTGCATCACCAGCTCTCCAGGTTAATTTCCGGCCTGGCAACTTGCAAACTTTCGCGCAACTTCCCTCCACCGCCGCCTTTCGTTTAATGCGTTCCTTCGTGAAAACTAAAAGCTAGTTCCTTTTCAAATGATCACCGGGGCTCTCGTTCCCGTTTCTACGTATTGCCAGCGTGTATCCACCCACTTCGTTCAATTGAGAGGCAGACGATCGATAAAAGCTTCGAACGCGGGCGACAACGCGATCATTTTATCAATAGAGGAGCAATAGTGGATGCTCTAGCATCATGAAGTACGAGAGTTTTACCAGGGGCTTGTTATTAGATTTGTGTATGTCAAATGTCGCTTTATACAATCGAACTTTAATTGCGCGCACAGTGAAGAGTACCACTGACCCAATAACGATGGAAAATTGTCGAATATTTCGAACTTTGCAAAAAAAAAAAAAAAAAAAAAAAAAATCATATGAATAACATCAGTCGAATCCAAATGTAATCTGACAACCATCGCAAGGTTTCACGTTGCAACTCACAATTAGTGTAAATCGATCGAGAATTAGTCTGTAATCCGATACCAACCAAATGTAATCTGACACCATCACAAGGATTCAAGTTACAACTCACAACCAGTGTAAACCTAGAATTATTGTAATCCAATAATTGAATCCAATTGTCATTTGATACTATCGAGTTTTTTGGCCTCAAAAGACCAAAAAGCCGAGCCAAGTTTCTTCTTCACTGATCCAAAAACTAACCCAATTTAATAACCAGTTTTTTAAAATTATAATTTGCACAAAAGTTCGTGATCTAATAGCAACCAAGCTGATAGTAACGACTGTTATATTATATCACTCAAATTTTGCTTCACTGTTAATTCTTAATTAACAATTAATCAAACACAGCAGCAACCAAATGTAGTTTCAAAACTACCCATCCGACGACAACTTACGGACACCAGAATCAGAGGGTCGAACACTCGAGAAGAAAAACAAGATTAATAATTGTCCGATGGAAAGTACCAGCGGAGTTGGAATGACGGGACAAATATTTGGACGGAAGTGGTTTCCGAACGAAAGCGATTTCATTGAGTCCCCAGGAGGCACGTACTTGCCGGCGGACTTCGGACGCCGGCTTCCTCCCGGCCCTTTCATCGTGCCGGAGTTCGACAAGTTCGACAATACTGGCTCATCAGGCCATTGTCGGCCAGACACAATGGTGGGCGGTGGCCTTTTCGAAAACGCGCACAACAATGCCGATCTAGCCGTGGAATGCATCCGACGCACCTTCCACTTCCCATTCTGCTTGTCCTTCCTTCCGTTCTTCGGCCTCTCTTTTCGCGATTTTCCACGCTTGTTTGCCGATCAGATCGTTTGAATTACAGCGCCGCCATTTTAGTACCGACCGGTGGCCATTTTGTCATCGTTTTTCATCTGCCACTCGTTTTGCCGACTGGAGATTCCTCTTTTT